GGCGTGGCCCCGGCCACCGCCTCTTAGGTCCTCCAAGCGCTCTGAGCGGCCATCTTGTCTCCGCCCCTCGAGGACACGCCCCCGGCCCCGCCCGCTCCGCCCCCAGCAGCGCCCTTCCGGCCCTTGTTCCCACCGCGCGCGCGCGGGTCCCGGAAGGCGGGTCGCTGCCGAGTCACTTGTGGAGAAAAGTCAGAGGTGACACGGTGGCCGGGTGCTTCAGAGAGGACCGACCTCCCGCTGTGTGGCGTTATCTGCGTTTGCTTTCCACTTCGTGAACAACAAACGAAATAGAGCTCGTGTGTTATATTCACTAACTCATGATTCCTATACCCGGGTAATGGACGCCCCGGTTCTTGTCTCCACATCACAGCCTGCGGCGAGCGCGGGTGAGGGAGTGAGCCAGTGTCCCTTCGGGTGGGCATCGCTGCCCGCCGAAGGCCGGCCGCGGGGCCTGCGCCCAGGACTGGGGGTCCTCGAACCTCGTGAGGCGTCGGGGGCAAGATGGTCGCTGAGAACACTCTCCAGTTGTGCCCGGCTCACCTTTAAACGCTCCTGTAGAAGACCAGAACCCCTGAGTCCATCTAGGAGATACCGAATTTCAGGACCTTTTCTTAATTTAGCCTTCCTCGACTGACGGCAGTGGCAGCACCGGTGGCCTCCGCCGTGGCAAACGCTCCCGTGGGCTGAGAGCCCCGCTCGCCCCCCCGTCACCCGCTTCTAGGAACCCGTGTGGAATTGGCTTGGGTCTGCCCACTCGTCCTTCAGACGTGATTTTAAAGAACAAATGCCAAGTTGATTACGAAAACTGACCTAAGTTTTTAGAGAAGCACACTTTCTGTTTGTTGTTTAGCATTTATGGAAGTGTGCTTATCGAGATCCAAGGTGATATATTAGGAATTGTTTGGAAGACTGAAACGTGTAAAATACATTTTGTCAGATTGATAATAGATTATCTTCAGTGTTTGGACACATACAACCTAAAAGTTGAGGGCCAAGTTAAATGTGTAGAAAAAAATGGATTAATATAAAATAATAAAAGAATTATTTGATTTGCTTTTGCAATTCGCGCATGCCCCAGCGCACCCACGCAGACTGGTCTGTCTCTGAGCCTGACCTTAGCTTCTTCCATGTCTGTGACCTGAAATACACTTCGGGAAATCTATCTAGAAATGTATCCAGCAAAGAGTCGAAAAGTCAAGTTATTCTCAGTCGTGGAGATGTGCACTTAGAAGTCACCCTGTGAAAGTGACAATTGAAGGAGAGAGAAAAAGACAGGAATAGGGAACCAATGACTGAATCTTAAAAAACGTCTACGTTTAAGGCTCAGGTGAAGTGTGAGAAATACAAGATCAAAGTCTGGATGACAAACACTCTGTAAGAGAAAGCGCTTCAATGATCACACCTAATTTGAACTAAAGGGTAAACATGAGTAAAAATCTCAGTAGAAATGGTAATTGAGACAAAAGATGGGAGAGAGACACTTGTGGAAATTTTTACCTTTCCATGCTATGTCTACCAAGGCCACATAGATCAAATGATACAGTGGATATAAAAGCATGTTTAAATAAATCGCTATCAATTTAAGGTAATTGCTTTGACTCCTACTACCAGATGCCATTTGCTGAGTCTCAGTAGAGCTGGTTCAACGTTCCCTCTGTTAAGAAAAATCTCATTTAGACATTTCAAAAGCTTTTTTTTTTGGTCACAGTTGAATTTTTCTGCTGTGATATCATAAAGCAACGTACCAAAAGGAAAAAACAACCACAACACCACTTATTTATTCTCCCGCTAAAGAAGAAAACAGATTAAATTCTTGCAGGTACTAGACTGAGACCCTGAAGGTACTGAATGAGAACAGATGCTAAATACAGGAGATAGATCCCTTTGTCTTCCTTAAAATACTGGACAGATAATAAACTTCTGTAATTCTGGACAGCTGCATTTTATATCAGTCCTCCAATAAGAATAGCAACACTGCTTGTCTCAGGCAGTAAAGTTGTGATGAGATTTTTCAGTTTTCTCTCTTTTACAATGAAAAAGTTCTTGCTGGCCTCACCTTATGGAAAAAGTGAAAGACAACAAGAGAGAATTATGTTTGAAATCTGGTCCATTAAACAAACAATAGAGATTTAACCACCTCTGATCTCTGCCTCCCAGGTGTAAAAGCAGGTGCTGAAACGCCAACTGTCACCAGTGGAAGACTATTGTTTGTAAAAAATATTGCTCTTTTTATTGTTTACCAAGTAAAGCTGAGGTTAAGCCATTGAAGAAAAAGTAGTTTTCAGAAATAATAAGTGTTAGTTTGAATTTTTATTGAGAAAAAATAGAACAAATTCAAGAACTGTTGGGAGATAATGGCTGGTTTTGAGATCTGTATATTTTGACAAATATATAACCTGCATTTGAGTTTTTGAGTGTGATAAGATACTAAATAAAGGAAGGATTTAAATGTTGGAAAAACTTACTTTTTCCAAACAGTATGGTCAGAATTTATCAAGACGTTACGTAAGAACGAAGGCATAGCCAAAACACTTCTCCAGCTCCAATTAGCAGATTTTATGACTCACTGAGTTGGCCCAACTACTGTTCACCTAATTCCCAACTGAAACGAAATGCTGCTGGTGTGGCATGTCAGGAGGCCGAATGACACTTTCAAGTACTTGCAGTATAAATAAAGATTGTTTTTAATTACCTTTTACTTGGAGTGACTACAGAGAATCTTACACTGCATAGTTCAAACTAAGAAGAGAAGAGTTAATTACGTGAAAGGCAAGAGAAAACAAGGAGAGTTACATTTTGAACCAAAGGAAATTGTTTCAGAAGATAGCGCCTGATATTTTTTGAATTTTCTGCAGGTTGTTTCAGTAGCCATAGACAAGTAGCTAGTACTAAGCGTTTAGGATTAAAGGATGGGAAGATGCTTACCTAACTTCCTAAAATAGGAAACACAGTACTACCAGTAGAAAGAAAATGATCTTTAGGTTTCAAAGCCCTAAGATACCATTTAACAGGATAAACAGTGGTTTTTAACCTTAATTGTGTCGGCAAAACACCAGAATTCTAGGACACATGATCCATGAGACATAAGGGCTGACTATGGCTGCTGTTCATAGAGGAGGAGGGGTAACTGAGTAAATTAGAAAAGAACCTTGTCTGGACACCTCGTGCTGTGACTTTCCCAGTGTCTCACATGCATCTCAGTTTAGAGTTTGTCTGCGTAACTGCATTCAAACCGCCCTATTGTCTCAGGTTCCTTCACCCCTGTGTTTGCTGCTCTCTCTAAACGGAAAAAGCTCCTTTGTTCCCACCTCCACCCCCACCCCATCACCTTTCTTTGGCTAATTCCTACTTATCCGTTAGGTCTCCCTTATGCTTTTTCCAAGGAGCCTTACCTGACCTCTCCCAGCCCCTCACTGCTGCACCCTCCTGGGCAGTGTCCCCTTGCACCATACTATCATTAGATATTTTCCCCATTCATCAATTATACTTTATTGTAATTAGTTGTTTAATCGTCTTTCTTTCCCTACCAGCCTAGAAGGTTATTCTTCATGATCACCATTCCATCCCCAGTGCCTATTACTGGGCTTGTCTGGAGCATGGGAGGTGTTATTAGATATTTGATGGATAAATTGAATTAATTCATTTTGTAAAAATTGTGTACTCTCAAAATGATGAGAAGCATATTTTCTTCTCAGTGGAAGTATATAATCACATGGATTATATAAAATCATAGCATTAACAGGTCCTCTAGTCTTAGAAAAAGTAGAAAGGTTTCTATGCCCCAAGAAATATTTAAAAATAAATTTGAGTTCATTAAAAATGAGGCTTAAACTCATTTTACAAATATGTTTGACTATAAGAGTTATAATGTTTTCTTTAGAGTAGTCTCTTCTATATGAATTGAAAGTAACTTTAAGTTATGCTAAAAATTACCACAGATTAGGGGTAAATTAGAAATTATCAGAGCCAAAAAGAAAACACTATGAGAAAAACCTTGAAGATTCCAAAAGAAACAAAAAGACATTGAAATAGATGTGTGTGTATACAATTTCATAG